TGTTTCTATGAGACATCTTGTGACATTTCTAAACCCAGAAGAAACAGTGTATTAGTACTTATGACAACTGACTCTCCACTGCTGTGTGTCCTAGGAAACACTCTCAGATCCGCTGTTAAATCTTGCAGGAGCTTCAGATTTATATTGCTCCTCATTTTTCTGGCACGAGTAAGTTTATGAAGAAAAATAAAAGAATATCAGCTGCATAGACTTGAAGCAGTAACACTTGCATTTATAAGTGTGATTATAGTTTTAAAAATCTGTAGATTTTATGCAGTTGTAAATATATGAATTCTTTGCTATTATTTGTTTCACAATTTAAAAAAAAATTATTAAATTACATTTTCTCTTGTTCATTTCACCATTAATTAGGCCCATAATGATCTAGATATTATTTGGATTATATTGACATTTTATTAGATTGAACATATCTGTATTACTTCGTAAGATTTAAGAAAATCTATTTTCCAGAAAGGAAAAAACTGTGCATCAGAAATTCAATATTATAGTCAACATCTCATAGATGATGGGTTCATAGATAAGTATAAAAACATCCATTAAAAAATCTTTATCACTCATTAAAAACAGACATATATTATCACTCGATTTTACTTTTCTAGACAAAAGCATTCTGTTTGGAGCCATGGCAAGGAGTTTACTTATTTTAAAAACAAGATTTGTTACATGCAAAGGATTAGTTACTCTAAGGTTTATGTTTTAGAGTGACTCAAGAGCGATTAGCTCTATAAATGATTGAATATTTTGCTTTTTGTCTTTCTTGTAGTATTTAGGTTCCTGTGATATTTTGGTAAGAAGCCCTTGATGAAAAATGCCAAACTGTAAAATATTACCAAACTGTAGATTATTTAAAGAGGTTTATCTTGAGCCAAATACGAGTGACTGTGGCCTAATGCAGCCTGAGTCCTGAGAACATGTGCCCACAGTAGTTGGATTACAACTTGGTTTTATACATTTTAGGGATACAGAAGTTATAGACAAAGACATAATGTATGTAGGGTGTACATTGGTTTGGTCCAGAGAGGAGGGACATCATGGAGATCTTTGGGATGGAAGCTCACAGGTCAAGGTAAATTCAGAGATTTTCTGATTGTCAGTTGTTTGAAAAGTTAAGCCTTTCTGAAAGACTTGAAGTCAGCACAAAGAAATAGTTGAATTAAAATAAATGGGGTTGTGTAGGCTGGACACAGTGGTTCATGCCTGTAATCCCAGTACTTTAGTAGGCCAAAGAGGGGGAGATCACCTGGGGTCAGGAGTTTGAGATCAGCCTGGCCAACATGGCAAAACCCCATCTCTACTAAAAATACAAAACTAGCTGGGTTTGGTGGCTTGCACCTGTAGTCTCAGCTACTCAGGAGGCTGATGGAGGAGAATTGCTTGAACTATGAGGCAGAAGTTGCAGTGAGCTGAGATCACACCATTGCCCTCTAGCCTGGGCAACAGAGCAAGACTGGGTCTCAAAAATAAATATGAAGATAAATGGGTTGTGAAAGCACAGGTTCTTATTGTGTAGATGAGGCCTCTAGGTATCAGGCTTCAGAGAGAATAGATGGTCAGTATCTCTTATTAGACCTTAAAAGCTATCACACTCTTAGTTTAATCTCTCCTGGATCAGGAAAAGACCTGGAAAGGGAAAGAGATTCTCTATGGAATGCAGATTTCTCCTGCAAATGATGGCTTAGCAGGACCATTTCAAAATATGTCAACAAAATACATTTTGGCATAAAATACTTTGATTTCCTCTAGAGCCTGCTATCTGTTATTTAATGCTATGCCAGAGTCAGGTTGGAGTTGGGAATCTTATTGCTACAAAGTCTGTTTTGTCAGTTTTGTGATCTATATCTTAATGTCAGTTCTTGTCAGTTGCACCTAAACTCCAAAAGACAAGAAAGTATAAGGAGGCATATCCAACCTCCCTTCCTGTTACACAACCTAAACTCGTTTTTCAGATTTTCTTTGGGTTCTTTTTGGCTAAGAGGGAAGAATCCATTCAATTAGTTGGAGGACTTAGAATTTTATTTTTGTTTTTCAAAACATTTCCTATATTAAGTCACTATACCTGAACATGATCTTAATGATTGAATAGCTATTAACATAAATAACTTCACTTAATTTCACATTTGTTCTACTGTTAAACTGTTTTTCAAAATAAAATTCTCGTAAGCTATTTTACTAGGTTTCACATATAGAAAAGGTATCTAATATATTGAATAATATTGCAGTTTCTAAGGCCAAATTGTCTTATTTCAAACCCCTGTTTTATTACTTCCTACTGGTACAATCTTGAAAAAGTTACTTAATCTTTCTCTGCCTTAGTTTCCTAATCTGTAAATTGAGGGTAATAGTACCTATTGCATACAATTATTTTTCCACTTAAATGAGTTAATACATGGAGAATGCTAAAGAAAATGTCTGATATATATAGTAATTAGTAAATATTTCTTTATTGTTATAATTGTCATTTGTATTAGTTTCAAAGATTTAACACAGAATGTATTATGACAAAACTTCAGGTGTTTCAGAACATGCTCATAGGGAGGTCACCTCTAATAACTCTAGCAATATGGATGAGCTATAATTGTATTCAAGATTCTAGGAGTTAAGTGTTGCCATCTTATGTATATAAGGGTCAGGTTCTTTGGTGCTAAATTATATGACTTCACAGAGTCTTTTTGGTCACACCCATGTGTCAGCATGAAGACAGGCATGGATCAAGAGTTACGTTTAATTTCATAGATTAGAAATCTCATAGAGATTTTTGAAATCAGGTAAGTTTCAAATCAAACCTTGGTTTTTTCATTTATAAAGATGGGGCTGTTACCTATTTTGCAGACTTCTGAGGATATAATATAAATTAATAAACATATTGCCTGATATATAGTTTGTCCTTAGTAAATATCATTCCTTTTCTCTGAATAGATGGTCACATTGTGAACCTCTGGAATTAGTTTAGACATAAGAAAAAAAACACACCTAATCAAAAATGACCTAAGTCATATCTTGAGTCTTCTAATGAGAGTAGACTTGGATATCCAGGCTATGTGGAGCGAGTGGGATGAGGAAGATGGGGACTAGAAGGGCAGATGGTGGGAACCAACTGAAAAGACACTTTCAGCCTCTGGTCTCCACCCTCCAGAGCTTCCTAAACTTAGAGAACCAGTAACTATTGCTGGCTGTGGTCCATAGGCAGTTTTGTTGGAAATACAGTTTTTAAATGTATTGAATGCTAGTTGATAGTATTTACAAATTAGGAGACTCAGCCTTAAATCAGAATCTCTGGCTTCTCTAGAAAAACCAGATCTGGTTCCCTTAGGCCTCCCATGTGATATGAGTGGGCCACAGTGATGAAGCAGCTGCCCCTTTAGATTGAGCCTACTCTTCCATTCCTGCTGGGACTTTGGAACCCTTGAGTTGTGACACCTGCTTTCACTGAGGCAAAAATCTACTTTCCATTGGGTAAATTGGTGACATTTTGATACGTAAGAATATTTTGCCTCTTTTGAACACAAATGATTATGAAACGAATTTCTGGTATCTTATGTTACTTTCCTGGATTCCACCCCCATAGTCTACTTAACATAAAATCTTAAAAAATATACTAGTAGTACTACCTAGGATCAAAGGCTAATAACATTAAATCTAGAAGTACTATATAGCAATAATGTCAAGGAGATGAAATCCAGGTCCGGTTTGTAATGACTACATTCATATACTAATGACAATTAGCAGTTTCTCAAAGCTTCATATTTTATATGATTTTTTATTGCTATCTGCCTTTTCAGAGCTTTATTGAGAATTAGGATTTTATGACTTTGGTTGGTGTTAGTTGAATGAATTGCAGATGACAGTATTATTAACATAAACAAAATGAGAATGATATGGTTTTGGATGTTAACAGAGCAAAACGCTGGTCAGATGTGAGTTAATATGTTCAAATGTTTTCATATCTCTTAACACACAAAGTTATTTTGTCTATAGGGAATTATGTAGTTATTATGTCTGTTAAGTAAACTTTACCTATTTAGTGTTTGTGTCTTACCCATTGACACGTACTAACATGTTTGAAGCAGCATGTGAGTATTCATGCACATAGACTACAGATTAGTAAACTCTATTGAAGTCTAGATTTCATGAATTATTACCAATCATTCTGAAGTTTTGCCTTATTTGCTTAATTGATATCTTTCTAGTGTTGTCTGTGTTGGTGGAGATGGATCTGCTAGTGAAGTAGCCCATGCTTTGCTTCTGAGAGCCCAGAAGAATGCTGGGATGGAAACAGACCGAATCCTGACACCTGTCAGAGCACAGCTTCCACTTGGCTTAATACCAGCAGGCAAGGGAGTGGCTACAGATTCATTAAACTGACCCTTCTCCCTCATTTCCTTTCTTATTTCCTAACCTAGAGAGCATAACACAGAGTTAATGAACAGGCTTTGAAAGATCCAGACTTCTGGCATCCCCAATATCAAATGTGAGACTTAAAACAAGTCATTTAATCTCTTAGGCCTTATTTTTCTAATCTAGAATAGGGATCACACATATATTATTCACTTTATCACAAGGTTATTGTAGTACTAACCTTTGGGTTAGTAAAGGGTTTAATATGTTGTTAAACTTTCAGTATATGGAATGGTTATTCTTCTCCCTTCCCATAAAAAGGTATAATGATTACACAGTACCAGGCAGGAGGTTTCAAAACAGGGCCACTCCAGTCTAGCTGCTTATAATTCCATATGAGGTGAATATGGTAACTTGCATAATTGAAGTATAACCAGATAACCTTGAGAATGCCAGAATTACTTGTGACTGGAAGGAGAATAAGATTTGGAAGGGTGAGATTCGTAAGGGCAAGGCATTTTATCTTTTCACTCACTGGCATTTCCTCAGCACCTAGAATAAACTATGCCACAGTGATGCTCAGTGAAGCCTATTAAGTGAATGAATGTAAGCAAGACTTCATATAGTAAATGACACTTGAATTAAGTCTTAAAATGGGTTGGAGCTGGTCTGAAAAGGTGACAATGAGTTATTTTCTTGGCTGCAAAAATAATAAAGCAAAGGCAAAACCCAGGAGTATTTGAGGAATATTGAAAAGGCCTTTCAATGGGAGATAATGGTATCAAAATAGATCCAACCATGGACGCTCCTGCATGCCACAGTAAGGGCTCTGAATTGTATTTGATAAGCAGTAGGAAATAATGGGATGTTTCAGAGCAGAGGGCAACCTGATTGGAGCTTGTTCTAGGAGGGTTCATTTTGCCTCACTGTGTGGAATGATTAGAGGATGGGGGCAGGAGAAAATAGAGGTCAGAGATAGGGAGAGCCATTAGAGCAACACTGTGGTTCAGAAAAGAGGAAAACATCATTCAAAAGTTGATTGTATTATACAATCACTTATACCAAATTATTTAAATAAATGATAGTGAAGGAAATTATGTTTTCATTTAAAAAGATACACATCACTAAAAACAGAGTATTTTTCCCTATGATAATAGAAAAGAAAAAAATTATATTTTGATAACCCTATTCATTTTAGTAAAATTAGTCTTGTTGATAAATTAACAGAGCACAAGGTATCCAAATGCCCTTTTAGAGTATGAAGTCTTTCAGAAAAGCCAGAATTTAAAAGAAGAGAGATATTCAAATTATTCTGATAATTGTGGAGTATATAGAAAAACCTCAAATGGTTTCTAAGTAGAAGATAAAAAGATTATTTTGACACAAAGAGAAAAAAGATGCATTTTGGGCTATCTTTTCATGGCATTTTATTTCTTGGTGTTTTTGTTTTACTTTAGTAATTCTGAATATAATGGTGGAACCTTTCCAACGTTTCCCTCTGTGCCAAGTGGATGTGTTTAGGACACTGTCTTCCTTAGTACTTAAATTCCCAAGGTCATTCACTGACTGCCTTACATCAGAAGTAGAAAGATGCATGTCCCTATAGTTATGCATTTGACATAAATTGGGTGGTTGGCTATAAAAACTGGTGGTTATGTTTATGTTTTTTGTATGTAATTTGGATGTTATAAAGGAATAGCATTGAGTTTTATCGCTATTATAATTTTTAATTTTTAAGAGTATTTCTGATTTGGGGAGCATTTTATGTGTTCTTTGGATATTTTAGTAATGCTATTTTAACAAGTCTTGTTTAGAAGACACAGTATGCTGCCAAACTCTGGTCATTGTATAGGAGTTCTAGCATTCTAATTCCTTCTAATAGGAGGAGAAAGTCATGTGTGGGATATATTTAATATGAGGACTCTATGACTAGTCAGGGCTTTAGTTAGAGAATGGGAACAAGAACTAGGCAGGAAGTTTTCAAGCCGAATATGAGACAGTGTGCCATTGAAGCCATTTGCCTCCTGGAGAGAGACACCCAGAGGGAGAGTGTTTAGTAAATTAATCCACTGAGCCAACAGACTAAGCTGCTGAATTATGGTCAGACTCAAATGGATCAGATGTGGGGAAGCCTGTATTTGAACTGCTGGCCATTAGGAATGGTGTTTGTTGCTATGGGAACTGGTGCTAAGGAACTATACTGAGGGACTCTGATTAAAAGGGGGAGTAGGGATGGAGAAAAGCTGAGAGGACATAAAAATAAAAAAGCAATCCAGTTGTTGTAAAACAAGGCTCAATCCACATACTGATGGCTGTGAACCATATATTCCTATAGAGTTTGCGTAAATAAATTCATGCTTTCCAATTAATTTGAGGAGAATAAAATATTGCCGAGGGACTGTTAATTTCTATGATATTTCAGGCAGAGAACCAAAGTGTAGGTGCCGTTTTCATGAGAATTTTAGATATGCTTGACTAGGAAGTCATTACATCACATTTATCTGTTTGGATGTGGGAGACATTAACAGCCTTATGAATATTCATGGTGTCTGGTTAATTAAGTTAATTGTTCTGCAGAAGTGCTTGCACTTCCAAGGACGATTTTTTTTTCTTTTTTTTCTTTTTGCCTCTGTAGTTTCTGCCTGATATTTCATCAGTAATTCTTTACATGAGCTGCTACTTCTGTCCTTACTTTTTGTATTTCGAACATTTTAGCAGCTCTGGGGAGGGAGTGGTGGGCAAAGTTTCTGGTAGTGTTAAGAAAAATAACTTTCAGGCTAATTAAAATGTTTACCTTGAGGTAGGACATTTATAGCTTTTGCGAGAACATTAAAATTACATCATTGTTATTTGTGTGAACAGCATGTTCTTTTGGCATGTAGACATCTTTTCAAATAGAGTGCAGTTTCCTGAAACAAAATGTAATCCATCTTTCAGATTATCCCAACAAAATATAGAACAATCCATCATTTTGCAATTTTACATACACTTTCTCATAAACTTTCTTTTTTTCTTCAGAGTGTCAAAACCACATTTAAAGACTAAGGTACAGATTAACGAGTAGTCAATGACTAAAATAATTTTCCTACTTGTAGTCATGCCTGTTATCCCTGCCAACTTCTACAGAATTAGAGAAAAGTTGCAAAGACTGAGAGGACATAAACATTTTTTAAAGCCATCTTTAACATTCTAAAAAGAAATTGTACTTGGGCATACTCAGCATACTTTAAACTCACAGGGAATAAAGTCTTTATTTTCTTAAGTCATGCTATGTGTCATTCTCTATTGTACATGATATTATGTTTTTAAATAATCTTTCTAGAGGAATGCTTTTATGGTCTACTCCTAATTAACCATAGTAATGGAAGAAATGTGTTTCATGGAGTACTGTAATCCATCGATAATCCTAAATATCTCACTCTAATGATGTGTCCTCTTCTAAAACCTTTACCACATATCTGATTGGGAAGCACAATGGATTGAATTGTTTCCTCCTTTTTTCCCAATCTTTTCCAGATTATTAGCAATTATATGGTCAAAGGCCAGGCTTGAGGGCTGCAAGATCACTGGAAAGGCCTGGATAAAGATCCACAGAGTAACAGGTTTCTATACTACTTGTTCTCAAAACTTAGAGTTCATAGACTCACCTTGTGAACTTGCTAAAACGGAGACACCTGGGTCTTCCCTCCTCCACACACATTCCAATTTTTTGAGTTGGAGGTAGAACCCAGGAATGTATGTTTTTAAAAAGCTCCCAGGTAATGATGCTGCTTGGGCCATGCATTCCAGAGGAGTTCCTCACCAAGTGACTGTGCATACAAGCCACCTGGAGATCTTATAAGTTGCAGACTCTGATTCAGTGTGTCTGAAATGGGACCTAAGAGGTAACATTTTAAAAATAATATATTTTCTTACTTTCATTAATACTTCTATTAATTACTGTTTTAATACCCGTTATCCTTATTTATTTTTAAATTGACAAAAATTTTATTGTGTACAATGTGATGTGTTGAAACTTATACATTGTGAAATGGCTAAATAAAGATAAACATGCATAAAGTTGACATAATGATCACATACTTATTTTGCATTGAGAACACTTAAAATTTCTCTTAGAAATTTCCAAGTATATAATGCATTGCTATTAACTATTGTTTTAGTCTGTTCTCATGCTGGGGAGCACTACACACTGAGGTCTGTTGGGGGGAAATGGGGAAAGGATGGGGGGTAGGGAGGTGGGGAGAGATAGCATGGGGAGAAATGCCAGATATAGGTGAAGGGGAGGAAGGCAGCAAATCACACTGCCATGTGTGTACCTATGCAACAACCTTGCATGTCCTTCACATGTACCCCAAACACTAAAATGCAATAAAAAAGAAAAAAAAATACCCAAGACTGGGTAATTTATAAAGAAAATAAGTTTAATTGACTCTCAGTTCAGCACGGCTGGGGAGGCCTGAGGAAACTTAAAACCATGGTGGAAGGCAAAGGAAAAGCAAGGTACATTCTTCACAAGGTGGTAGGAAGGAGAAATGCTAAGTAAAGTGGGGAAGAGTCCTTTGTAAAACCATCAGTTCTCATGAGAACTCACTCGCTGTGAGAAGAACAGCAGCGGGGAATCGCCCCTGTGATTCAGTTACCTTCACCTGGTCTCTCCCTTGACATGTGGAGATTTGGGGATTAAAATTCAAGATGAGATTTGGGTAGGGACACAAAGCCTAACCATATCAACTATGGTCACCAGGTTATAAAACAGATCTCTTGAAAGTATTCGTCTTAACTGAAATTTTGTATCCTTTGACCAGTATCTCCCCAGTTCTTCCCACACATTAGCTCCAGTAACCACCATTTTACTCTTTGCTTTTATGAGTTTAAGTTTTTCAGATTCTGCATAAAAGTAAGATCATATCGTATTTATGTTTCTGTGGCTGGCTTATTTCACCTAGCATACCATATTCCAGGTTCATCCATGTGTTGTAAATGACAGGACTTCTT